GGGGTTTAACGTCCACTCAACACATGGTTCAATTTTATTTCAATAATTCGCTTGCACGTAGGGGTCTTTAGCAGTGGGACGAAACCGGAGGAGTCGGAGAAAACCCACAAAGTTGGACAGGCGACCCTACTCCTTGTCGCGTACAACCGGGGATTCGAAATCACGCAAGTTGACTCAGTCACAGGCCTAATGGTAAAGCACGCTAACTATTCGGCCATCCAACCCACCCGTTTTATAAAATAAAACCAAGTACGAACAATCCAAACCATAAGACAGAATTCGAAGTCCTAAAAAACGTTATAGGCAAAATAGTGTAGTCAAGCAAAATAGAGTAATCAGCACATGGACTGCTCCTCGTGTACAAAATACACGACAAACAATAAATAAAGGATATGTTTCAGATATACCTTACCAGGGTTGGTATTACGCGGCTTTGTTAAATCGAGGAAAACATATATAGTGAACTTTTTATAGTGTTTTTTCCCAAAAAAAACAGGCAATTTGTTGCAATGACAGTCGTGCAGAACGAACAAAATAAATTTCTTCTAGCTATTTGAAGCTTGGTAAAGCAAACACTTTTATTACGTTTTTATATATTAAAGATGCATTATGCAAGATTTAGATAAAGAGCTAGCCATTCTTGCTGTAATAGTTCGAAAAGAGAGAGAGAGAGAGAGAGGGGGAGAGGGGGGGTGTTAACGTCCACTCGACACAAACTTTATTTCAATAATTCACTTGCGCGTAGTGGTATTTAGCAGTGGGAGGAATCCGGAGGATCCGGAGAAAACCCACGAGGCTGAACAAGCGACCCTACTCCTTGTCACGTACAACTGGGGAATCGAAATCACGCCCGTTGACTCAATGACAGACATTATGGTACAGCGCACACGTGCTAACATTTCAGCCATCCAACCACCCGTTCGAGAATAGATAATGTAAATTGAATAATTTGAAAATATGGCTGAACTTTTCCAATCTGTTTAATATCTGATGCCATCGAGAGTTGATTATGGCCTGGATCAGTTAAACATACATTATGCAAGAGCTAAATCTGTCTATCGCGGGTTTTTATTTAGGCCTGAAATGTTATCTAAATTATTAATTAGACATTAATTAATTTATCCAGACCCTAATCAACTCTCGATGTCATCGCAAGCCTGCGATCTGTAGTGGATTATGATCCGATTTACTGCATAACTTTCCTTCACGATTTAATGATTAAATGGATAATCGAGACTCTGATTTTTGTCGTACCGACTTTAGTAATGATGATCGAGGCTAGGCGGAAATTTCAATCGCTTAATTCTTGGTTTATAGTGGATCAATTTGAATGAACTTTTCAGCAAATTGCCTTTACACTATATAGTTTTAACTATTATAGTGAGAACTGCCAACTCGTTATCTAATCTCCCATAATATATCTTTAATTGATGTCTAATTAATAATTTCAGGCCTTAAGAAAGACCAGCAATAGGCAGATTTAGCTCTTTCATAATGTATCTTTAATGGTTATTTATGTTAAATGTACCCCATGACAGTTTATATATACTATTCAAAAAAAGTAGGGGATATTTGATTTTTAAGTGTTATTAAAGTCACCTAATGAAACTGACGAAGAAACAAATGACAAAATGAAATGAAGTTCACATTCATCGATTTATTCCAAATGATCGTTAGACGAAGTAAGGCACAGACTGACCATTATAAGGGTAAAATGATACCCGGGGTCAAACAGCAAAGTTACCACAGCATCACAACCAAGTCAGTAACGGGTAAATCCTCCTCTGTTTGCCAAACAAGCATTGATCCGACGTGGCATACTCCTAATGAGACGTCTAAGGTCATTTTGGTCCAGATTGTCCCATTCCTGTTGCAACGCAGCAGCAAGTTCTTGGACATTGGCAGGACGTTGTTGACGTTGACGTAACCTCTGTCCAAGCATGTCCCAGACATGCTCGATGGGGGAGAGGTCGGGACTCAGTGCTGGCCAAGGTAATGTGGTGATGTTATGTTGTTGGAGGTAACCTGTAACGATCCTGGCCCTGTGACATCTTGCGTTGTTATCCTGGAAGATGAAACGGCGGCCATGACGTCGTGCGAACGGCACAACATGGACTGCCAAGATGTTGTCCCGGTAGTACTGGCCTGTAACACGCCCTGCAACAACATGTAAAGCCCTTCTTCTAGCAACAGTGATGCCTCCCCACACCATAACAGAACCACCCCCAAATCGATCATGTCTGATGACGTTAACGTCTTGAAAGCGCTCGTTTCGACGACGCCACACCCTCCTACGTCTGTCCAAAAAATCAACAGTGAACCTTGACTCATCTGAAAACATCACATTGCTCCAGCGTCGATTATCCCAGTGTTGACGATCCCTACACCAACGACGTCTTGCCTGAATGTGATGATCTCTCAAACAAGGGATCACGCGAGGACGTCGGGCGCGAAGGTGACCCCTATGCAGTCGATTCCGAATCGTCTGGCCACTCACTCTCACACCAGTGTCTGTTTGAAGACGAGCGCTGATCTGATTTGCTATGATGACACGATTTCTCAAGGCCAAGGTACGGATAAATCGATCCTGGGCTTGAGTTGTCGCCCTTGGTCGACCTGAGCGTGGTCTGTCCTGTACAGATTGTGTATCACGGTATCTGGACCATAGCCTGCTTATGACAGACTGAGAAACATTCATCGTCCGCGCCACAACCGCCTGTGTTGTGCCGATCTGTAGCATGCCAAGGGCACGTAACCTTTCATTTTGGGTAAGCCGACGCATATCAAAATTTGTTTTCTGGTCACTAAAACAATTAAACTGATGTTTCCACCCTGAAATTCAATGCCACAATGACTGTAACATTCAAAGTCAGAGTCGTGCAAATCTTTGGTTGGACCCCCATGATGATCCCAAGCATCACCTGCATTCCATGCGGTAGCTATTGGTGCGTTTGGGCGTCACATGTAACTGGAAATGTTTCTTCTGTTAGGTTCTATAGTGACTTTTTTCGTAGTCATTTGCATATTTTAGTATTATGCCCCCAAAATCAAATATCCCCTACTTTTTTTTAATAGTATAATTGACACTCAATTGTACAAAAATCGCACATCTATTATTTCTAAACAATGCTAGCTGGGCGAAGCGATGTGAAAAACATTTTTAAACATAAGTTACATTTTAATTTTTTTATACCTGGTCGGGTCACGCCTCGAGTTTTATTTAAAATCGTTGGAACGTGTATTATGAGAACCTTTAAAGCGGAAAGCTAACTAAACAATGGCAATATTGCAAGTTTATACAGCAATTCAAATAATATTTGAGAGACATCCTCACCCAAAAAAAGAAAAGAAATTGCCAGTAAGAAGGCAGGGACAGATCCCCTCTGTATCCACGTAGCGCGATTTGGTTTGTTCTATAAGTCCCATCTGTCGGCTTTTCGGGTAGAAATCGTGGAATAATCTTTATTTCGTTGGTTTGGGTGTTTAATGACAAAACATAATGTTGACATAAGTAAATCTTCATTATGGTGGCTGTTAGCAGCCATTTCATATTCTCTGCAAGAAGAGCCGCCTCATTTTCTCTACAAACACGCAGAAAGGCTTCTGTTGCGATCTGATCAATGTTCTCCAGATTAGTCATGGAGAATCCATCCAAGACCAGGAAATGTACCCCCTAAGCAAAATCCTTCAGAGATTCTAGCTCCTTTTGTCTATCCGATTGCAGTTCCCTCCTAGAGACAACAGGAGCTTCTGTTTTATTAAAACGATGGCGCAGCACCTTGATTAGTGATGAATACCGGAGACGGATACCTATTTTGGTGATGTACTCCAGGGCGCTACCGTGCATACCGTGCAGATAATAATTCATACGAGAAAATATCTTTCTCTCGCTCCGGTATTGTCGGTGCGCCAAACGTTCAAATTGGGAAAATGGGTATGAAATACCAACCAACTGAATGAATCATCCCCCGAAAACCTTACCATCTCTGGTAGGTCTGGGCTGTGACCCCTTCTCGGATTGAGATTATCCTCGTCATGGGAAGACACGTCATCATCCAAAATGCTCTTAGTTTTCACCTCAAGTGACAAAGAGGAAGATGTGGGGACATTTCGCAACGGGAACTCTTCAACCTGTCTATGAAGTGCGAACATGTGGCACTGATCGGGAATTGGTACAACGCCTCTCATCACAACCTGGCTTAGAACCAGGCATCGGAAGCCAGGGCAAAGGGAAGCCTTTCCTGTTGACAAGTAGAAGTCATTGGATTTTTATCCGAACCAGGAATCTTAGTCTGATAGCTCTCAGCAGGGACCGAAGACTGAACATTACTCCTAAAGTGATCGGATAAAGATTGTCCATACTTACTGCTTTTGGAATATGTTGTTGATCACAGGGTCTGCGGTTTCACTGGAATGTGGTTGTTTAACTGGGTCAGATTGTACAGGAATGAAAGTTGTCGGCATTGGTTCTGACATGGGCAACTGTAAACCAAGGCGTTCTAACACCGAAGTAACCTCACCAACAAGATTTTCCATTGCTTTACAATGTACAGCGAACTGTGCTGCTGTGCACCAGACCTCCTAGTAAACTGATCATAAAGCTTCCTCTGACTAGCTTCAAATTGGGCTAAAGTCAACGCCTGCGGTGCATCTACTGGTCTGCTATCAAAGACGATGCCAACGGTAACACGTCCCTCATCAACCCATTTGTGACAAACATTTGGTTGCAACCCGGTGACTTCAACAGCATCTGTCATTGTTATGATCCCTAATGCTCCTCTTTCTTCAATGATTTTTTCCGCCCCCACTTTCCCAATCTACCCTAGACACATTAAGGATAACCAATCAGCGATCTGCTGTCTATAGGAGCCATTCTTAAAGAAAATTGAGAGAATACAACAAGTTATCTTTATTTTAACTTGGCTAGTGTAAGTCTACATTCAGAAAAGAATTTTGTTAGAGATTATCTTCCATACACCAAAGTAAATTAACTATATGCACCTATTAGTCCGATAACAAGTGCAACAAGGACAGTAATCGTAATCCATTCATACTTGACAGAGCGAGTAAGCCGCTAGCCCCGTGAACAGCCGGTGACTGGATATGGGTTTAACGTGTGGTATTCTCATAAACAAATTCTACAAGGAAAATAGAAACAGAAATCGAATCACAAAGGTAACCATAAATTTATATATTTCTTTTCGGAATGCATACATACTTGCTATATTTCATTACTGACATATATATAGGGATTATTCTACAAAATTCCCGAAAACCTAGTTTAAGTTCAAATCTCTCCAACTATAGATGTATTTTTCACCACTAAATTATATAAATTAATCTACAGTATTTCCGAAAATCCAGGTTAGGTTTAAATCTCTCCAACTAGTTGTATCTCAACACTAAATAATATGGATTATTCTAAGTATTAGTTTTTATTTGTTCATTACAAAATAGCACACGATACCATACGGTACACGACTGATTAGTTACTATACTTGTAACGTTAAACTGTGTGTTTAACGTTACAATTGATACAGTCTAAGACTACTTACGCAAGTTCAAATAGGTCCAAACGCACAATTGTCAACACATATCATTACAGTTTGTATTGGAATAAGTGAAGCCAGGCTGACACTTGCACGACTTTTGGTCACGATTTTGTCGTGGCAAGTCGTGCCATTTTGGGGCACGAACTGGGAGGCTCCCGCACTGTTCACGACTAGTTCACGCATAGTTCACGACGAGTTCACGAATGCGTGCCCATGAGTGTCCACATTGACACGAACTGGCACGACGAGTTCACGCATAGTTTGCGCATTGTTTACGCACTTCCCGCATTGGCACGACGAGTTTGCGCAATTCGGAAGGTGTCGTGCCGACTTGGGCACGCCATATAAAAAGGGGACCTACCCAACCCCTGGTCATTTTTGGATTGGCTGTGGAAAAGACAACATGCTGAATGTCAGAGAAACAATCATTGCAGGGAGGAGAAGATGCCTATACCTGGCAGCTGCTATAGCCATTGTTCAAGAGCAGCAGTAAAGGCTGGAAGAGGCAGAAGAGCAAGAAAGGGCAACCCCACCTCGAAGAAAGACACAAAAAGGAAAGTGTGGGTCAGGGAATGGTTGACCAGAAGGCAAGAGTTTGGGCAGTATGACAGTTTACTGACTGAACTCCCTGCACTGGCACGCATCCTCCCGCATCGTCCTGACGAGTTCACGAACAGTTTGCGCATAGTTCACGACCCGGTCGCTAAATTTTGTAGTGACCAAAATGTTGAACATTTCAAAATTCTCGTCCCGACATGGCACGCAGTCACGACAGGTTTACGCACACTTCACGCCAGTTTACGACTAGTTTGCGCACTGGCACGACTCGAGTCGTGCCAATGCGTGCCACGGAATCGTGCAAGTGTCAGCCTTGCTTAATTATATTACAAATAGTGAAGACTGGGCCACTAAAATAGTTACCGAACAGTGTTTCTTTGTGGTTATGCGTTCTACAATTGCATAGCGATGTATGACGTATTACGCAAGCCGCCATGACAACGATCAGTTGAAATTTCGCGTAGGAGTTGGGTTTCATCAAATCATATAATTATGCGGTAATGCCTCACCTTTATTTCAATGGGAATTGATTTATTATATGTTAAGCTATGTACAGTACTGTTTTGGGTCAGTTTATGTGTAAATTAAGGGAGCTATAGGCCAGTAACCTTTTTGTAGTCATTTGACTAAAAAACTTGCGCAAAGGAACACTGTAGGACGAGCCACTACTGTGGCTGGAGTAAGGCGGAAGACATCAGTAGTGGAACCATTTCTACACGACTGATGTACTTATTATAAAATATTAACTGTGTCTTAAATATTCGATATTAGGATCCTATCGTGCCACGGCAATAAAACAACATCAATATTAATTGAAATGGACCCATATTCAATTCTAATTCGTGTTTTTAATTCAAATATTATGGGAAATGTTGAATTAGAGACTTAAAGATACATTATCGGAGATTAGATAACGAGTTGGCAGTTATCACTATAATAGTTAAAAACTACATAATGTAAAGGCAACTTGCTGAAAATTTCAGTCAAATTGATCCACTATGAACCGAGAACTAAGCGGATGAAAGTTCCGCTTAGCCTCGATCATCATTACTGAAGTCGATAAGACAAAACTAATAGTCTTGATTATCCATTTAATCGTTAATCACGAAGGAAAGTTTTGCAACAAATCGGACTGTAATCCATCAAATATCGCAGGCAAGCCTTGACATCGAGAGCTGATTATGGTCTGGATAAGTTAATTAATGTCTAATTAATAGTTTTTATAACATTTCAGGCCTAAAGAAAGACCTACAATAGGCCGATTTTGCTCTTGCATAATGTATGTTTAACTAGCTTCTTTAAGTTCAAATCTCTTCAACTAAATGTATTCCATTACTGTAACATATAGAGTATGAACCTTTGATATGACATGGAGTTTTAAGGAATGTCAGCTCCAATCGGGCGCAGATTTTCATTTGAATTCAGTACCATGTATTATTTTTTTTACTGTCAATAATTTTTTTTTTTTTTTTTTTTTTTGGTACATTTTTAAATACAAATAATTATATGATATTCTGTGCATAATTCTTTTACTGATATGCCTACCTAGCTATTTTTGAGGTAAAGTTTTCTTTATAAAGATTCTATAAAAACACCTAAATCAAGACCTTTCCAAGAGACCGGGTTTAACGTCCTACTGTTCTACTTGGACTAGGCTATTGAAGACGGCTGAAATACAACTAAAACATCCAACTAACAAACTGACACATAAATAAATCCTCGAATATTACATATTGTAATAGTCTCGGTCACCCAGAACATCCTAGTCTTCAACGTACGGGGGTCTGGGACGTAAAGTCCATTGCCCATGCGTTACCGGAAGTTTGGTTTTTAATGTTATTGATTATCCGGTATCTTTGGCCAAGTCAAGTAAGACTTGCGCAATCGCGACGACGAATTAGAATTAATTTTTAAAAAAAAAAACAACATAGATATGGCCCATGCCCATAAAGAGAGAAATTTTACAATACAATAGATTAAGAGTGTTGGATATTGAACTGCGCATGCAATCAAATGGATTATTTGAAATGTCATTCTAAAATTAATTTCATGTGCGTCATCATCTTGTTTTATGGCGAGTTACCTCCCTTAAACATGGTTTATGATAATGTAAAAGACCGGATAATCTAGCCAATGACCTATTATTCTCAAATGTTGACAACGCATCCCAATCTGTTTCACAGAGGATCACGAAAGTTTTCTAATATCTCTGTAAAAGATGACTACCTTCAACACGTAACATCTCATCACGTGGCGTCAATCATTGGCGCAATGGCTCGTGCATTGTTTACATAAGACTTTACTGGTTCAGGCGGAATGGAGTCTTTTACTCATTTTAATACCCATTTACACTAAGTTTCACCTACAAATACGTCAAAAGTCTTTATTTATTTTTCTAATAGTAATACATAAAAAAAATCTTTTAGAATTTAATTTGTCAGAGGAAAAAAGTTAATATTTGTGTCATCCTTATCAGTGATTGTCGCGGCCTAGCCAATATTAACTGCTGATCAGTGTGAACACATCCAGACTAATGTTCGTAGAATATTTTTCTGTGTGAGAGAGACTAATTATGTAAGCGACCGTGACTTCAGTTACGTTTAAATCAAATATCAAAATGTCAACTAAATAACATAGTTCAATTAACTTCTATGACGGGACAGGAAGGTTTTAAAGGACCTAAATCTCTATTCTTTGGAACCTAAATTGAAAAGCAAATATTAAAGATACATTAATGCAAAATGAATATATTGAAAATTTCTTTCAAATTCCTTTATTCTGAGTCAAGTTATCACTGTTTGTAGTTTTGGCAAGATGTGTGCATCTTTTGTTTATTATCCTAACCGCGGTACTGCTATAATCAGTTTGTGTCGGCATACCTTTTATCTTTTCGTCGTTTGCCATGAAACAATGAAAGTAAATGGGGTTTAACTTCCTACTGTTTTGCTCCGGCTGGGCTAATGCAGACGGGCATACGCCTTGCAGTGTGTTATGGGGTAAATTTTGCCCGGGCAGGGATCGAACACGCGACCTCCAGGCTAGGGAGCCAGCGTCTTACCCACTTAGCCACCGTAGTTCCGCCGTGAAACAACGTAGCACAGCTTTACGATTGTGCTGATATTTTCCGATATATACAGACAGCTAGTTTATATCATTTAAAGGAGCTAAATCGATAATATTTGGGACCTAGAAATTGACCCAAATGGGTCGCAATGCATATAATAATGTAATCTAATTGTATATAAACTGATTTGCATTCAATTGTTTCCGTTTTGACTCTAATTTCAAATCAGTTATGTCCAGCGAATAGCAATTTCTAGCGTCTGGTTATTCCAGTCTATTGCGCATGCTCTCCAAATAAGATATGACGTCACCGTTTGACATGTGGAAGATGTCTAGCCTCGTTCTCTCTGGTCACTTGTTACAAATGGCGATGAAACGCACAATGGTACACGATTCGTGTACCAATGGTAAGATGGGTTTTTTTTGTCTTAAATATTGGATATCAGCAGCCCATCTTTACCTGGTAAGATCACAACATCAATGTTGATTTGAATTGATAAATAACACTTTTTTTCAACGTGTAAGACGTTGCTTGATATTGAGTTAGAGACCTAGCTTCTTTAATATATGTCAGAATGAAACAGAGTGGTTAACTTTTTACCTGGACGTATTTTTTTATGTATCTACCGGGGGGAGGTAGGTGGGTGGCTGAATGGTTAGCAAGTGCGCGCTGTATCATAAAGTCTGTCATTGAGTCAACTGGCGTGGTTTCGATTTCCCGGTTGTACGTGACAGTAGGGTCGCCTGTCCAACCTCGTGGGTTTTGTCTCGAAATGGCCTAGTTTGTGTTGAGTGGACGTTAAATCATCTCTCTCTCTCTCTGTATCTACCGTAAACATAGAAAGAAGTACTTGTACTTTATCTACTTTAACGCACTGACGATTAACCCCACTGATCGCGCTCGAGAGTGTACAGTACACACTATAGTGTGAGTACTAGTTTTAAAATTGTTAACTTTATCTTAATTAATGGTAATCAGGAGGCGACATTTTCACGGTAAGATAATAACATCATCAATTAACCGTGTTTGTAATGTCTGATTAAACCTAAGATCCTATTTCATTTTGTTGGGGGGGGGGGTCCGAATGGTTAAAACGTGCGCGATGTATCATTGAACATGGATTATGTAATACCTAAATCTACATATTATAGTTCTGTTGTCTGGCTTCACATGTATTATAAATTATTATTTAAACATTTATTAACATGACAAGCCCATAAGTAACTCTCTAGTCCATCGATTGGGTCCGATTTAAATTGATTAGAACATTGTAGCCACTGTTCTTCTTAAATGTGTTTTTATATAAAGCTGGGCCCTGTTTCACAAAAACTTAAACTAAAATCACTAAAATAGATTTTAACTAAAATCAAACTGAAATTTTAAATTGTATGCGTTTCACGAAGATCGATTGTAACTTAAAATGCAATTTTAATAGATTTTAGTTAAAGTTGCTTGTGCTCGCGCAGTGCACAATTCCGGTAAGGGCACTTAGGGTGTAAGCATACACGCTTCGGAACTGAAAACTGTTGCCAGGTTGAACTACCCGTTACAATGCCAATGAGTAGGGTTTCATACGTTGGTACAATGTCTGCACATTGTCAGACAGTCGTAGAGAGATGAAATAAACAAGTGTATTGCGTGTTATTCGTTTTGAAATGTATCAGTTGGTTGACCTTGAACTTGCATGTCGCTTTCGCGACCTTGGCATTTGATTTACATGCAGGCTTCAATGGAAATAATGCGTATCGATAAACTAAATCGCTTGAATTTCGTAGTTTTATGGTATTTTGGATAACAGAAAATGTCACAAACATGTGATATTTCTGACTCAAACGATTAATCTGGACTAAAGTATTGTAGATTTTTAAAAGTATTTTTAATAACTTTTAAACTAATACACGAAATAACCAATGTTCCGATGCCTAGATTTAAAATGTCAGTCCCATGGACCCTTTCAATAATAATTTGAAAATACCAAAATGCCACACTCCTTATTGGATAATGCCTATCTATCTTACTAAATTAAAATGATTTTTTTCCCAATATAAAATACCCTTGGCTCCTATATAAATCATCATAACCCCAAAACCATAAATACTTTGCATATGGCGTATCTAGTATTATAGGACTGACGGGGTTTCGATTCCCTTGTTGTACATGACAGCAGTGGCGTCGTGCCCATTGGGCCCGGGGGGGGGGGGGCAAATTCTCAGGCAAATAAAAATATTTTTATTGATATTATTAAGACAGAAGACCTGTCCGTCTGTTTTAGTCATCACATGGTCTCCAGGAATTGTATAATTTGTCATTATCTGTGTTTAGTTTATTGCACTTTAGTTTAGATACCATTTGTTAAGGCCTCGCTTTGTACACTCTATCATTTAGCCTCGAACTAAAATATCCGGGAGTATGACGTCAACGTAACGGTTAATCTCCGCTCACGACGCCATTTAAAAATTTAATCAATCAATGAAATCCTGTTTAAATCCAAGCCGAATCCAAGCCATCCGTGGGTCTGCAGAGTTGATTTTGTGCTTGTTGTGTAAATCCCTATTTATTGTATGCTGTATTTGATAAAATATCCATATACGGGTGTCAAAAATAAAGATTATTAAATTACAAATACATCTAAATAGGCCTACGTATTTGACCATGCATGAAGTTGTTCGAAATGTCCATTCAATAATTAAATCGAAGTTGAGATGAATAAAATATAATTCAGTTTTCGAGTGATAAATTACAATTATCACTAAAAAAAACGACCATCTTTCAATCATAACTTTATTGTCTCTAATCCAACGAAATGGAGTTTCCCGGCTTCTAATTTTAAAAATTTTCAGGGGGAGGGCCCCCCGTACCCCCTTGCATGCTCATGCCTGCGCCATTCGATGTGGGCGGCGCTTCCGCCAACACTCTCCGCAGCCTAGTAAATTTAATTCACCCGTCCAAAATCGCGGGTTTTCTCCTGGTCTTCTGGTTTCCTCCTACGCGCAAGCGAAATATTCAAACAAAATTGAACCATGTGTTTAACCCATCTCTCTCTCTCTCTCTCTCTCTCTCATTTTAAACAATTGTAGGCCTACAAAGATATTTTTTAGACATTAGATATGAAGTGGGTTTAGATTTGTTTTTTAGGGGTCTATTAATTATTTGACAATAGTATAATTTATACTTGAATCATGGTAATATATAAAATTGTAACAAAGAGTTTTGTTTAATGTGGTTTTGAGGGGTTTTTTTTTTCTTGGATTTTTAATTTGGGGAGTCATCTAATTGCTTATATTGCCTTACAATAAAATAAACGGGTGGGCCGCAGCTATATTTCCCATGCAATGAAAAGATATTGAATGAAAATTGTTTTTGTGAATGATAGTATGCTTAAATTATATAACCCGGGCCATTGGCAATATTATCATTATTCCAAATATATCTATATGTCGACATGTCGTAATAGATCTCACAACGTAGCTCTAATCAATGTTTGATAATGTTGTGATTTTAAGTTAGGAGAGGGTGACGGCTATCCTAAGTTAAAATTGATTTTAGTTAAAATTGTCCCTAAAATAGTTTTGTGAAACGCCACTATTTTAAGTTAAGATACAATTTTAACTTACAATATTATTTTAGAGGATTTTATCTAAAATGCTTAAAATCATTTTGTGAAACGCATCTATCTTACGTTAGGATGGAATTTTAGTTTAAGACGATTTTATGGAGATTTAAGTTTTTGTGAAACAGGGCCCAGGATACGAAGTTTACAACATCTATATGCTAGTAATAAAGGAGTAGCATCCGAAACGGGTTGAGACCGGGGGGGTTGGATGGCTTAGTGGTTAGCACGTGCGCGCTGTATCATTAAGCCTGTCATTGAGTCAACTGGCGTGGTTTCGAATCCCCGGTTGTACGTGACAAAGAGTAAGGTCGCCTGTCCAACCTCGTGGGTTTTCTCTTGGTCCTCCGGTTTCCTCCCACTGCTAAAGACCCCTACGCGCAAGCGAATTATGGAAATAAAATTAAACCATATGTTAGTCTCGAAATGACCTAGTCTGTGTCGAGTGGACGTTAAACCCCATTTCTCTCTCTCTCTCTCAGCTCGAGACCATTAAACAACTTAAAATACAGACACTATCCCGCACGTGCTTTTCAATGAAATACGTCACGCGAGTCCAATAATTCATCTAGTATAGATAATGTACCATTGGCAAGTTGTCTGTACGTTATTAGGATGACGTCACATCTGTGTTTTAAAACAATATATTATTCTTACAGATGTCCCTGGTAAGCAGTCATAAGGTATGGTACTTAGTCCTGTTGGTGTGTGGCTGTCTTTTGTTTATTCAACAAGGATGGTTGGATACCCGATACTGGAAGATATCCAACAAACATCCTTTAAAAATATTGAGTGATCCAAAGGAGAACAGGTCTGCAGAGTTATTATTGGTTCTGTTCACCACGTGGAAAATGGACCCCGATAAAACAACGGTCCACACAAATACGTTTCTGAACTGGAAAAAATTTAAGCCGCACGTCCAGCCAGTTGTATTTAGTAATGAATCTGCTGTTATTGCACAAGCTATTGAATACGGTTGGAAATACCTGCCTCTTCTTCATATGTCACCTTATAATGTGCCCATACTGAAATATATGTACATACAAATTAAACACAAATACAGATCGAGATTCTATGCCTATGTTAATAGTGATATTTTATTTGACGATGGGTTGATAAAAACAATAACGGCTGTAAATTCTGCGCCATCTTTACCCAAAAATGAACCTCTGTTAATTATTGGACAAAGAACTAATGTTCTTAATGTGACCCTGGCTGAATCATCAACCTTTCAGAAACTTCATAGTATTTCAAAAAGGGGTCAACTTTTTGCAACAAACGCGGAGGATTATTTTATAACGGACCACAGTTTCCCTTGGGAGACGATTCCAGAGCTTGCTATTGGACTTCCGACTTACGATAATTGGCTGGTTCTGTTTGCACGGACTGGAAATATGACCGTGATTGACTGTACGGCTACCATGCTTGCTGTTCATCAAACGACTAAGAAAGGAAATAAGGAGAGTCACTCCCACGATCATAACAACTACAACTTGGAGGTGATAAATAAAGTTTATAAGACAGTAGATTACGGCGGTGGTTATACTGATTGTACCAACTGGATAACCAGATACAACGGCACATCAAAACTTGTAACATTTCTTCAAAGACCAACACCTGCTTGTCAACTTATATTAATACCTAAAACAAAACAAAATACCTAACACTTCTCCAAACACCAACTTTTTTCTAGTGATCGTACAAATTCATTAATACCTGAGGCTAGGGTTCAGCATGTCAGTGACCCGAAAACGCAATAAGATATTGATTATGTGATTATTTTAGCGATAATAAAATTCTAGGAAATGAAATTTGTTAATACTGGTTGAAAAAACCCAGTTCATTTCTGTAGCATAATAAATTTCATCTCCATCGTGTCTAAAACTAAATGGAATCAAATGGAATGGAGTTTAACATCCTACTGTTCTGCTCCGACTGGGCTAATGAAGACGGAGATACGCCATACAGTGTGCTATGGCGTCAGTACGATTTCAAAATCAGAGAGGAACTTTAATCAAATCATTCTAGAAAACGACTTACTAAATGGATCAAAGCAATTTTTTGTGAGCGGTATGTTGACACATTATTGATTAATTCATCACAATCCCAAGACATTACGAGAATGTTTAGAGTCTGTACACAGTCTATACATCAGTGTATGGTGTGTCAACCGCGAGTGTCGATAACAGCAGCTCAGCGTTTGTACATGGAGTGGACCAGACGATTGATGAACGCCACACCCCCAGAAAAGACTGGCACAATCCATCGGCCGTGTTTGGTCTCAGTACGACGTTATTTAGTCTCTTCTTAATTCCATCCCAAAGATGTCCAATCGGGTTTAAGTCCGGACTAAGGACTGGCCAGTGCATAACGTTGACACAGTTCTGCTGCAGAAAGTCCCGAGTAACTCTGGCGGTGTGAACACGGGCGTTGTCATGCTAAAACGTTGTTTGGATGACGTGCAAAATGTGGTATGACGTGGGGTCTGAGAGCTTGATCGATCTAACGACTGCTGTGATGCCGCCTCCTCTCCCTGGACCAAGAGTTTGGACCACCAAAGGACCCACTCTCTGGTTCAGGTCGATTCCACCCTAAACCATTTTGCTTGGACCCCCCCCCCCCCATGAGTCTCGTTCCATAACACATTGGTCAGAATAACGCTGGCCACGTCGACGCCATATTCTGGTCCTGCCATCTGCAGTTGATACGCAATACCGACTCTCATATGTGAACAGAACAGTTCTCCATTGCCCGTGTCGCCAGTTCTGGTGTTGTTGGGCAAAATGTAGACGTTCACGTCGATGGCGAGGAGTGAGGATCGGTCCACTATAAGATCTACGGCAATGGATGTTCTCTCTGGTGAGACGTCGGCGCACTGTATCGGAACTGATGGGTCTTCCGTATGTTCCCACTGTCTGAGGTGTTGTCTCAGATGCCTGTGTAAAGGGATTCTACACGTGCTGTCGCACAACATGGCGGTCTTGTGGTAATATAATTCAAATAATATCTAAATTTAATAACATCCAAGCCAAGCACTAAGATTAATTATGCACTAAATTGAAACAATTTCAAAAACTGAAAAGTGCTACAAAATCACACTACAAGTGAGACATATAGATATAACTAATATACACAGAAAACTAACAAAAGAAAAATGCACTATTTTGCAGGAATAATAAAATGATGTAAAACCTTTTCCTCATTAAAAAAAACCCAAACAAAATGAATATTTTGTAAATAACAGAAGCAAAGCATCAAGATTACAGGATTGAAATAAAGAAAATATCATATGTACAAAAAATTTATATACAATCACAAGTCATAAGCCACAGTGGTTCAGTGAGTATAAGGTGTTGGCCGAGAAATTTCAACTGGATTTTCCGGCATAGTTCCCACTTGTCAGTAGTCTTGGATATGGCAAGGGATAATTGGGTACAAGCCCGGAATCGAAAGAGAGAGAGAGAGAGAGAAATGGGGTTTAACATCCACTTGACACAAACTAGGTCATTTCGGGATTAACATATGGTTTAATTTTATTTCAATAATTCGTTGCGCATAGGGGTCTTTAGCAGTGGGAGGAAACCGGAGGTCCCGGAGAAAACCCACAAGATTGGACAGGCGACCCTACTCCTTGTCACGTACAACCGGGGATTCGAAACCACGCCAGTTGACTCAATGACAGGCCGTATGATACCGCACGCACGTGCTTACCATTCGGCCATCCACCACCCCCTCCCCCATTCCCGGAATCGAAACCATCCCCACTGCGTTCACTTAGAAGAACCCTTGACAATTGAATTATTTGACTCAATGACAGACTTCCTGATCAAATGTGTGCGTGTTAATCATTGCCCCCCCCCCCCGGATTCCCGTTAAAGAACCCTTGACAGTTGAAATATTTAATATAAGAGTAGGGTGTAGGGCAGAATCACTCTAAGAACACAGAAAAGTAGGATACTAAACCGTATTTCATTTCATAAGCAAGGGAAAGTCACCTTTATGTAGGTCAAGGTTTTTTGTAATTCTGGGTGTATTTGATCTACATTTGGTTTCTAGTAATGCCTATTAAATACTTTATGATTTCTGACCAAATTCTAAGTGATTTATATGTCACTTTACTTGCTATATTATACATACATTTCTGAAGAGAATTAAAATCTAATTGTGTTTTGGAAGAAAATTTAACATTAATAACAAAAAATAAATATTTAAAAATTGGGTCAAATGCATTCTTTCCCAGAGGTATAAAATAAATTGATGCTTGGGTTTTCTTGTTGTTATCATACAGCAAATACTCTTTCAATGGTGTTCCAGCCTAAAAAATAAAAAGTAGGCAATAGGAATACTTTCTATGGTTCACAACGTTTAAATAAACAATTTATTTTGCCACATCGAGACCGAGTCTCTATTTGGTTTCAACTTTGCGTAAAGCTTATTGTGTCTTGTCCAGTTACAGACCCAGGCAGATTATTATGCTCAAATCAAATGAGTTAGAAGTCAGAAAAAAGTCTTGAGATTTGGGACTGAAGTCTCATAATAGGTCAACTATTCACATTTTCATACATGTATTGTCTGCAAATCCAGATTCCCTACTACATCATGGCAGCACCTATTTACTTGGCAATGTCTAATTATTTTTGGACCCATTCTTATTTTATTTCCATTGACAACAAATTGGATATTACCCTTTAAAATCTATTGAAATCTATTTGAAAGTAAAATACTGTCCATCATTATTTTACTGCTATTTACTGTAAAAATACACATACATGTAGGGCCTATCGCAACTTGAAGGAAATCAATGGATGTGATTGGCAAAAATCAAGCATGCCAAGTACTTGAAACAGCAGAGTCCTAGGCATTGCCCCAAGAAGAATAACTAGATTACCAAGCAAGTGTATAGAAGTACTTCCTGATTAAAAATACAAATATATATGTTACGTACATTTTGCGTGTTTTCCCCTTGTCAGTGATACAGGACGGAGGACCTGACAAGGACAGCTGTCTAGTCGTTCGGATGGGACGAAAAACCGAGGTTCCGTGTACACATTGGCGTGCACGTAAAAGATTCCTTGGCAATTGGAATTCGATATAAGAGTAGGCTGTAGCGCCGCTGCCCGGGCAAAATTCCCTTCATAGCACACTGTATGGCGTATGCCCGTCTTCATTAGCCCAATTTATGAGCAAAACAGTAGGATGTTAAACCCCATTTCATTTCATTTTCAAAATTATAAAATAATTTGATGGCTTAATATTCAAAAGGTACAGTCCTTCATGTTTATAAAATTGTACGGGAGCCATAAAAAGCTCCTGATACCTTGAATATATGCAGTTTAAAAGTAAACAAAAATCTCAATATTTAGGAGAGAGAGAGAAATGGGGTTTAACGTCCATCCAATCCCCCACCAAGTGTATAGAACCAGTTCCTGATTTAAAAAGCAAATATGCATGGTACTTACATAGTCTTTGTCTGATAAGCAAGATCTGTGAGAAAACGTCTCCACAATATCAATAGCCCTTTCCAACTTGATCTTCCGAGGTGGGTAACTGAAAAAAAAAATGGCAATGTATTAGTTGGCTTAAATTGACTAGACAGTTTTGATTAATTAAAAAAATGTTAATTTAATTACATTTGTTTTGTTTCATGTGTTGGTTTGCTTTGCCACAGATGAGACAGTGATATCTACATATAACTAAGATTCTGTCTCTGGTCATACATGACGTGTACATTTTTACTATACTAAACTGAATTTTAGATTTCAAAATAGCATAACAATCTTTTCTATTAGAATTGAATAGTTACCCACCAAGAAAAAGCTGCTCTATCATCATTTTTTCCAGCCATTTCTTCTTCCATTTTTTTCTTTTATAATTTCTTTTGTTATTACATGTTCTTTTTCTGGGAGATTTGCATATACATCCAATATTGAAACTGAAAAAATAAATACATGATATGTAATTTACGATTAAAGCTACCTTACCATATATACAAACTGTGTGATATGAAATTGAAACTAATGTATCTATATGTATCAAAAGTTTTAATCCCAAGGAACTACCTAAGCCGTAAAAGTCTATCTTAATAATCCTTGTTTGTCACATGGTTTCACTGTCGTAGTAATTAGAAGACGGCCATGGTGACTGAGTAAATTAGGTGCTGGCACACTAGCATGGAGGCCACAGGTTATCTCTTGGGGTTGACCGAGAAAGCTCATCTTGATTTTGCAGAGTGGTTTCCCCTGAGATCCAATGTACACATTGGCGTACACATAAAAGTTCTCTTGGCAGTTTGAATTCGGTATGAGAGTAGGCCATAGTGTCGCTGCCCTGACAAACATTTTCACTTAGCACAATGCATTAGACCAGTCGGAGCTGACCAGTAGGACGTTGTCTTTAAACCCCATTTCATTTCAGGTAATCTAGTATTTTTCTATTAAGATTGAAGTCTCTCTACTTTCTTTATATGTAAATATCATATTTATATGTAAATATCATATTTGAAATAAGTCATACTTTTATTCGATATGGGGTGGGGCTGGGGGTAATGCATGCGCATGAAATCACAGGGTCTGTTATTGTGTTAAGTGGCATGGTTTCAATTTCAAGGAGTAGAGTCGCCTCTCCAATCTCTTGAGTTTTTTCGCTGGGTCATTCGGTTTCCTCAGTTTTCTAAATACATGTACCCCTACGCCAAGCGAATTATTCATATTAAATTGAAGCATACCTTCTCTAATCTCTGGGTCCTTTTGTTTCCTCCTTTTGCTAAATACCCATACCCGCAAGCGAATTATTCATATTAAATTTAACCGTACCTGTCCTTTTTCCCGAAACGACCTAGCGTCTGTAGGCTAAGTAGATATAAGTACCAATCTTGCAACAACTCTACATGTAGGTTCGTGCATAATTAATATTACAGTAACATACCAATTTTTAATACATGTAGAATGAGACAGTGTGCAGGGAAAGGGTGGAAACGGAAGTAGGCTAATCCTCGTCGTAGTTGATTACCGGTATGCATATAGGCACAGCATGGACTACTTGATTCTTCAAATACAAGTACATGTAAGGCCTTGTTTATGTCATTTCTCTCTCTCTCTCTGTTGCATGTTAGTGCCATATAAATACTTTATTTTGGATTGTATGTTCACATACACTAATCATTGTAGGACATTGGTAAAAGAAAATATAAAAATTAATTGAAATTTTTACCTCTTTTTCTTCGATTCAATGCCAATGGAGTCCTTGGTAAATTCTCAATAATTATTGCTGGAAGGTGGAAAGAGTCACATATCATCACTGACTGGAAAAAATAATAAAACTATAGAGAAACTTCCACAGGCTGATTCTAGTTCCATTATTTATTAACTGTGACTGAATCAGGCAAAAATGGGGCCTAATATTAAATATTACACAGACTCACAGAGGTTGAACAACGGATTACATGTCATTTGGGACTCGCGTCATTTGGGACTCAAAAAAATATGACCACATTTGGGACTCGGGTATACGACGTTTGGGACTTTGGTATACGTCGTTTGGGACTCGGGTTAACGACGTTTGGGACTCGGGATAATTTATTAGAAATAGGCCAATTCAAAACACGAAAGAAAATATTTATAAACATGAAACACGTGGTTAGTAAAAGGCTCAACCAAACGATAAAACATTAGTTGCACTTACGGTTCTTTGATAATCATCGTTTCTCATAAAAGTTTTATATTTATTTAAAACGAATAATATGCTGATGAATTTATTTGAAAATGACCTACACAAAAAACAAAATAAATATTTACACGACATGCAATCTTTTTTTACAAGCCCCTTGAAATTGTTAACGATAATCCGTGAGCTGCACGTTGACATGCTTGTCGTAGATGGCAATACCAATTGATAAATTAGTGCGTACAAGGCAAAGTTTTTTTGTGGAAAATATAAGAAATGGCAACGAACAAAGCGGGATAATTAAAGCTGATTAACTGATAATCCCAATGTTATTGCAGTATGTTCAAAGAAACCTAACGGTTCTTTGGTGGATGAGGAAAAACGTGAGTTGTCAATCATCGAGAATGGCGGCCGTGTGTTGATTGCAGTTATACCGTTTCACGAAAAAACATTAGCAGTGGTCGGTCAATCAAGCTCGTTTACTATTTATAACGCAAATTTTTCGTTTCGGTTAAAACAAAATATACGTCCATTTTAATTGGCCGAAGGATGTGTGACTAATAGAAATATGGCGGGCGGACAAACTGACCAAACAGTATATTTCGAGGTATTTGAGGTAAGCTAATTTAATATTATATCATAACTGCATGTGCATACTTGTGTTTCTGTGTGATTAAATATTCAAAAAAATCATTCTTAGGATACAGCCTCGACACCAGTCCGCCTTGAATTGCAATGTTTGTTTTGTGTTCTGGGCGCCATTTTGAAAAAACTGACATGACCTATATAATACAATCCAGCGATAGTGCAGTCAATTTCCTTTAAAAGGGAATCCGAATTTGTTAATTTTCTGCAATATCACTTCGGTGGTAGCGGACGTTAAATAAAGCTATTTCACGTACAAAGACCTACAATAAAATCCTGGTGAATTGGGAAAAAAATGTATTATCTTGATGAAGAGTAGCTATTTCAATTTGTAAATGCCCAGTCATCTTAGACAAATAATAATTCCAACTTCAAATCAGTTGTATTTATTCAAATCATACTATGAATAATTGTATTTTTCCACTTGCATAATAATAAAAACTTGACTTTTATTATTTTATTTCTTCAGGCCAAGAACATGGAAAATTGGTAATTGCCTTGTATCACTGCTAACTATAAGGCACAGGGAGCCTTGGGCAGAAATGATAATAATATGGTTCTCAGATATGTTACTGTGTACAGACTGAACAAAAAATATATATACACTTGCTATTACATGTACATTATATCATTGGCAATAATAAGATCCTATTTTAGTTTTTAGTTACACACTGTTAACCACCAATAGATGACAATAAATCATAAAATGTATTCAGCTCGACGTAAGACTTAAATAAATAGATACAGTTGGCTTAACTTGAATAGAAGTTTTAAATATCTATGCTGCATATATGCATATATCACCTTGCAGCTGAATCACATTACATATCTTTTTAGTTGATGTTCATATCGTCTTACGTATTTGTCAACATCAATGTGACCTTGTTCTATGTCACATTAGCCTTTTCAGACTTGTTACCACGAATTTACTCACCACACCCTCGCATAGTTATGAATTTATTGTTTCACTTGACTAAAGAAACATTTTGTAGGAATGTATGCTTTTATAGATTGGACACTTGTTTGCAATATCATTGTCGGTGGAAACTGGCACTATACCTAAAGAATGACTGAACAAATAGCGGAGACGGGGTTTCAGCCGGCTGATTTAAATTATTTCTTTAAATTCAGTAAAGCTTGAAATATGTCAGTTTTCACTCTTTAGAATGTTTTTGTAAATAAGTTTTTATTGTAGTTTCCGTGGCGTATTCCCAATAAGCGTTAGAAACAAAGATATACACCCTTAATCCCGGTGCCGATAAATGTTGGGTTGTGTGGAACATGCTAACAAATCTCGGGTACGATATATGTTTGATTCTGGTTGAGAACAGCATGAGAGCAACATGAATGTTTTCATTGGAGATGAGACGCAAATATTCAAAGGGGTCAGACAAACTCTAAACCAACCGCGTTCCCTTCACTGAGTCCCTTCAAAGGAGGCCCTGACTGTCTACCTGTGGAATAACATGCATTTGTATCTGTTAAATTTGTGTGGTAGACAGATTGATATTATTTATATACTATTCAAAAAAAGTAGGGGATATTTGATTTTTAAGTGTTATTAAAGTCACCTAATGAAACTGACGAAGAAACAAATGACAAAGTGAAATGAAGTTCACATTCATCGATTTATTCCAAATGATCGTTAGACTAAGTAAGGCACAGACTGACCATTATAAGGGTAAAATGATACCCGGGGTCAAACAGCAAAGTGGCCACAGCATCACAACCAAGTCAGTAACGGGTAAATCCTCCTCTGTTTGCCAAACAAGCATTGATCCGACGTGGCATACTCCTAATGAGACGTCTAAGGTCATTTTGGTCCAGATTGTCCCATTCCTGTTGCAACGCAGCAGCAAGTTCTTGGACATTGGCAGGACGTTGTTGACGCTGACGTAACCTCTGTCCAAGCATGTCCCAGACATGCTCGATGGGGGAGAGGTCGGGACTCAGTGCTGGCCAAGGTAATGTGGTGATGTTCTGTTGTTGGAGGTAACCTGTAACGATCCTGGCCCTGTGACATCTTGCGTTGTCATCCTGGAAGATGAAACGGCGGCCATGACGTCGTGCGAACGGCACAACATGGACTGCCAAGATGTTGTCCCGGTAGTACTGGCCTGTAACACTCTCTGCAACAACATGTAAAGCCGTTCTTCCAGCAACAGTGATGCCTCCCCACACAATAACAGAACCACCCCCAAATCGATCATGTCTGATGACGTTAACGTCTTGGAAGCGCTCGTTTCGACGAAGCCACACCCTCCTACGTCTGTCCAAAAAATCAACAGTGAACCTTGACTCATCTGAAAACATCACATTGCTCCAGCGTCGATTATCCCAGTGTTGACGATCCCTACACCAACGACGTCTTGCCTGAATGTGATGATCTCTCAAACAAGGGATCACGCGAGGACGTCGGGCGCGAAGGTCACCCCTATGCAGTCGATTCCGAATCATCTGGCCACTCACTCTCACAACAGTGTCTGTTTGAAGACGAGCGCTGATCTGATTTGCTGTGATGACACGATTTCTCAAGGCCAAGTATGGATAAATCGATCCTGGGCTTGAGTTGTCGCCCTTGGTCGACCTGAGCGTGGTCTGTCCTGTACAGATTGTGTATCACGGTATCTGGACCATAGCCTGCTTATGACAGACTGAGAAACATTCATCGTCCGCGCCACAACCGCCTGTGTTGTGCCGATCTGTAGCATGCCAAGGGCACGTAACCTTTCATTTTGGGTAAGCCGACGCATATCAAAATTTGTTTTCTGGTCACTAAAACAATTAAACTGATGTTTCCACCCTGGAATTCAATTTCACAATGATTGTAACATTCAAAGTCAGAGTCGTGCAAAGCTTGGGTTGGACCACCATGATGATCCCAAGCATCACCTGCATTCCATGCGGTAGCTATTGGTGCGTTTGGGCGTCACATGTAACTGGAACTGTTTCTTCTGTTAGGTTCTATAGTGACTTTTTTCGTAGTCATTTGCATATTTTAGTATTATGCCCCCAAAATCAAATATCCCCTACTTTTTTTGAATAGTATAGTAATTCAATCAGTAAGTGCTATTTACCTTATAATAGTCGTCTTGGCTTTTACCCGACATTACACAAAACACCAATGGTAACTGTCGGGTGGTCTCTCCAGTCTTAATGAAGGCGTGGATGGAAAACAGCTGAGACCATGGCTTGTTCACCACCCGAAAAGTTGCATCCATATACCAAGTTTTTGCGCGTGCGAGTAGTTGCATCTGTCTATCAGTACAAAAAATGTGATGGCGCCTTTCCCCAACTTTTACTCTTTTTTGAGTAAAATGTGTAGTTGCATCTGTCTATCAGTACAAAAAATGTGATGGCGCCTTTCCCCAACTTTTACTCTTTTTTGATAAAATCCCGGTGCACTATGATCGATGAAATCTTCGTCAAGCTAAAACAAAAAAAAAATAAAAAAGTACATTTAAGTACATGTTAATAAATAAATAAAATTGTACATTTAATTACATGTTAATAAATTCTTATATACATGGGTATTTAATTGCATGAGTACTTACGCTTGACGACACGTCAGTGGGATCTTTTGGTCGCAGAGTCTGTCGGGTTCTTTGTAGCGACCTTACAAGTGCTGCCATGGGTGGTCTGCTATGAATGGGTTCTTCTGCAGAACCGACACTGGGTAAAACTCTCTCCGCTATTGAGGAACATGACTTGGTAAAAACATTTCCTTTGGCTTCATGCTTTGCCTGTAATGATAAGATAAAACATATTAAACTACAAATATATTATTGGTTTATTTATATTTTATTTATTTACACACATATATAAATTTTTAATTTAATTGATATATAATTTTTAAACCTACTGTAACTTTTATCTTGGTAGCCGTGTGTATACCGGGTTCTCCTGGGCGAAGATGGTTCGTTAAGCCTGGTTGGTATGTATCACCATCTTGGATTACTGTTGCCGGACATCGTTTTGGTCCGCTTCGTTTGGAACACCTCCAAATCGTAGTTTTCTTCTCTGTCTAAAATATATTAAATTCATTTATTATTATAGAGTTAACTAGGTTAACTAGAGTTAATTATCTTTACATTTTGTAGCTGAAATACATTTCTATACAAGGTAGTTAACTAGGTAAAATAAATCACCCTACCTTAATTGTATAACTAAACCCTTGGTTGTCAAACAACTTGGACTTGCCACGGGAGGTACCAGCTTCTACCTGCGTATACACCACTACGGGTTCTTCGTCGCAGAAGACACTAACGTCGGCATCGTCTGAGATGGAGGACTCCATGACCGGAACTGGCACATCGTATCGGGTTTCGGCTGTAAACGATTCTTCTACTTCCATAGGTTCAGTTGTTGGGACCTCCATAACTTCTTCTTGTTGTTCGTCCATATCTTCCGTCTGCTTATTAGATTTAAGGTTGTTTTTTTAAACATAAATTAGATTACAATTCAACTAACACAAAAGTGTAAAAAGATTTTTTTCTAGTCTGTGCCCGCGTTTATGTCTACTCTTGGCAAAATCGTTATAATATAAAAAAAATCATGAAACAAGAATCAAAATGGCCGCCAATCGGGTCTCCAACGCCAATCCAACCTCCCAAGATATAATTTCAAAACAGATTCTTACCTGCTGGTTCAAGTCGAGCCGTTTCTGCTTTAATCATAATGTGATTCTGTAATGTATAAGTATTTGAACAACATCGTAGCGCCGAACAACTAATGTTAATTAAGCATGATTTCAAATAAAAATAAAACAGATTTGATAATAACATGCCGACATTTTTTTCCTGACCGCGCCATATTATAAACATGAACTTCCGGTTTAAATTGTTGGAGTTTTTTTTAAGGAAACGAAATACTAATATTATACAGAGAAACAATATCGATGCTAAATTACATACATGGTATTATTTTTTTTATATAAATATTCACAAACCTGCGGTCTTGTATTCTATGTGACCATTAGCTTACATTTGTCAAACATATCACTGCTCCAAAATCATTTCAGCACGTTGTTAAATGTTAAATTAATTGTGTGAAATCACTTCATTTAATGTCCGCTTCCACCGAGATGATATCGCAGACAAAATGTAGCCTATAGTACGTTGATTTTATCAACCAATCACATTCAATAACAGTTTTACTTATTTTCTTGTCAACGCATTTGGAGTCAATTGTTAAAATCACACCGGGCATGAGCGCTCAACAGGCCTTTGATCTACCAGTTTATTGGGCCCAACTTTATTTTAACTACTATCATCTTAACACCAATTAGCATTCAAGTCTGCCGGCTATATTGTCTGAGTAAAAAATACCTTTCTCTTACTTGTGGACCTCCGGATTAAGACTTTGTATGGAGTTCAAATTTAAAAAAAAAATATTTGTTGACGGTACACATTACTTGTGTTAATTATATGGAAAAAACACAAGATTTGTGTTAATGCATTAAAAAGAACACAAGTTTGTGTTAATGCACTGCAAAACAACACATAACTTGTGTAGAATAATTTTCACACAAGTACTTGTGTTGAGATGTATATATTTGCTAAATGCTATTTTGTCATTAAATTTTGCTTTAAATTGTTCACGGAGATGATTAGAATGTGTAATTTGACATTAGGTCGGATTATTATAAACAATAGGTTTATCACGTGATTTCAGTGATGAGTTGAATGATACTAGATTATATGTGTAATTAAAATCTAGAAATGTCATGTTTACAAACTATCGACTGGTGTTCCGAGGGAGTGAAGTGCACGTCACTTACTTTGGACATGCAGTTGTAGTTCTATTCTAAATAAATTATAGCCTGGTATTGTCATAAGTGTGAGCTCAGCTTGTGTCAGTGTCAGTCTGATAGGAAATGTTTATGTAATAGTGGTTAGTGTTTATAAAAAACGAAATACTAAATTCTAAATGATTAGGTCAAAAAGGTCACATTACTGAAAAATAACAATGTAGGAATTCTAAAACAGAAATTATAAAATTATAAAATTGTAGATTACTAACATAAGGTCAATAGGTCAAAGTTAGTTTGAAGATTTATAATTAAAGGGACACATCAAAGTTTATTAATGATTAAATAAAGTTTAATTTTAATTAAGAGTAAGAGTTACTAATACGTTTTAGGAATAATATATTAATAATAATGTTAGACTAATATCAAAATAAAGATTTAGGAATAGTTAGTTTTTGGTCTGATTGCAATGACATGTTTGATTAACGGATAAAATTGTACAAACCAGTCATACTTAGAAGAGAAAAAGAAAGTTTTCAACTTGATACTGTGGTAGCTGAAACAGACCAATAGAAATCCAAGAAGAAGAAATGGTTTACCAAATTGAGATTTCCTGAGACAGAATTTAAAGTGACACTGAACTTTATAAAAATATTACGTGATGTGTTATAGTGTTTTGAAATTAGGACACTTGAAGATTTAAAAAAGAAAATTGATGTTTTCTGTGTTTAGGCTTAGTGAATTGTCATAGGATTTTACAGTGATGAACTTTTTGGAGAGCTTTTGCATGCAACTTTTGACTTTTGATTTTTGATTATTTGTGTTTTTCTTTCACAGCTTAGTTTTATAGTATAGTAATCATTTATATTTGCCTGATGCGTGAATAATTAGTTAGAATATCGATATTTTATATATATATATTCTTAAAGGGGGAAGAAATGTATGGACAAAGAATAGAGAAATAAGATGACTTTATATTTCATTAATTAATGTTATTTGCCAAATTAATAGTTTCACACATATTCACATATATATTATATATAGTGTGTACTAAATCAACTTAGTCTGTAATTGACAGTTGATACATAAAAAGAGTTATTTAGCCAAAACATGTGTCAATAAAAAATCACCAAATTATACGTGAGTGGAATTATTATAATTGCATCATTTGGCTTAATTTAACCAATCATTTTGGTAATTACACAAGTTCAGGGCCATGAACACGCTCTACTGTGCGTGATATGCATGAGCTCTATAAAGGAAATCATAGTATACTTTTAAGCCAGACTTCCATTAGATTCCAGAGAGGTTCCATCTGAGTTCCTAGACAGCCGCGAGGCTGGCTAGGGTGGAGACATGGTTTTAGCTAGTATTGTTATATATTATGCTTGTATACATGTATTCGTCTATATATATATATATATATATATAAAATGTAGAAGCGAACTGTTGCATTGTTATTCCTGGTAAGACAAACGTCTTAAGAAAACTGTAAGAAGTAAATACACAACGTGAAGCAGAAGTAAATACAGCTAGAGACAAATTCTAGACGATCACAAGGCTACAGAAATATGTAGTAAGAAAAGATGCATGGGTCGTATGTAGGATGTGGCGACCGTTTTCGGACATACACCCGCTCTCCTCGTCAGACAAAAGACCTATGGTGCTACACTTGACATGATTTTCAACTGAAAAAAGGCTTGAAATTCGGTAGGAAACTAGTTGCTGAATGCCGCTTAACCATTTCAACCCGCTAGTTTGTTGTGTGTGTGTGTGAAATAACTATATGTTGTTTTATACTAGTACGTTTACCTATGAAACGTGGTACTGCTATCTCAGCCATTATTGTTAGAACAGCCTATTATTCGCTTGTACCACGCCATTACGTGGTACTGTAATATTAGCAATATTATGTTCTATTATACCACGTTTTACCTACTTCCGTTGTATTTTAATAGTAGCCTTATATTCAATAGCCCAGTTGGAGCAGAAAAGTAGGACGTTAAACCCCATTCCACTGCATTTCAAAAGCAAGGGAAAGTTACTAAATATCTAACTTAATGTTTTACATAATAATATTCAAAATTAAAAACACGAATTAAAATTAAAAAATTTGTCAATTTCAATCAATATTGATGTTATCTTGCCTTGAAAGTATAGGATCCGAATATCCAGTATCTAAGATACAATAAACATTTTATAATCAGTACACGAGTGGTGTTCCCTATGGTTTTGGGTGCCACTTTGTAACGAACAAATAAAAACATATCCTACAAGAAAATGTGGTAGTAATTAACATAAAGGTCAATTCACAAACGACAAAATAATAATAAAACAGCGTGTAGAATGGATAAAGCAGGCAAAAAACGATTGCCTTTCAATTTGAACTGTTCACGTCTTTCACCAAACATAAATTACAATATAGTATTCAAAAATTGAACATACATCACTTTACATGCATTCATATTACATTAATATGTGCTTTTAGAACCATTTTAGTCTATTTTTTTTTTAGTAATTCTGTTTATATTTAATCTACAGGAAGTTACGGTCCGATATGCGTGAATATCGAAAGAAACTGAGATCACGGGTTTATAAACTTACTATTCAAGTTTCAACAAAATTGGATAACAATTGTGACCTCTATAAGGTCCACAAGCTAAAAACGAGATTTTTCATACAATCAGGGGCTATAATCCATGAAGTTACGGTCCGATACATGCCAATATCAAAAAGAACCGAGATCTTAGGGTGATAAACCTATATTTCAATTCGGATAAAAATTGTGCTCTGTAGAGTGTCCACAAACACGGACAGGGGCGACGACAATATACGTCCACATGGAAATGTGCGCGTATAATAAAATGAAATGGGGTTTAACAGCCTTCTGTTCTTGTCCGACCTTTGCAAAGTACTGTGTGTGATAGTGCATCCGAAATTGAGACTAATAAAGACTTTGCCACACCCGACATGGAAATCCTAGAAAATGATTCATATGTTCCCCTTAAAGACACTGATAACAGTGTATAAAGGATTGTATATCAACCGTAGCCGTGTACAGGGTGCTTTTGTGGGGGGGGGGGGGGGGCGATTTCGACTTGTACAGAATTACAAAGTATTTAGTAAACATAAATTCTGAAATGCTACTCTACTAATCGTGTTACTATCACTGGTTTTACGCATAGTGTTTGTTTTTCCAAAATATTTATTGTATAGAGTATGCGAAGAATTTTTTGTAATCAGGGAAGATAATGTTGTGTCGGGTTTAATCACGTTAAAGGACAATATTGGTGCCAGTCATAAATCACTTTAAAGGACAATATTGGTGCCAGTCATTATCACATATGTGATAGAACTGGTTAAACACGTTCCAAATATTATTTTATCACAGAGACCATTGCTACGATAGATGCGTAATCATTGCTTCAACAATCGAAAGGAAAAAGCGAGTTATCCCTCTATATAACTGGCTGAAGTAACGAGTGATAACCGATACATGGTCGAATTTCTGCTTACTATAACATGACTTACTATACCAGAATATCAAGGGCGTGGATTTGTCATAACTTTGTGGGGAGGGGGGGGCGAACCCTGGAACCTAGAAAATTTCATTACCAAACCAAAATAATAATTACGAACAGTTTACTGTACCAGTATTATTTCGATGAAAGCTGTAACCAGGGGTAATATGATGACGATATGGAAAAATGGACTACCTATAATTTAGGAGGAAGATATCGTGAAGATCAGTAACTGTGGCGAGATCCAAGGCAGTGCTAAGATAGCCTGGCGATGAAAATCATGGCGGGGACAGAGACTTATTCGCCCCCCGCCCCTTCCAATTCTAAGGGGGGAACGCGTCGCCGCCCCTAAATCCACGCACATGTAGAATATAACATTAATATGTACTCTTTGTATATTTTATCGATATATTATTTATATATTTTATCAATGTATTTATTGTATGTAACATGTCAGTTTAATAAGAAAACCCCTGTAGAAAGGGGAGGTAATCTTTATAAGTTTCGGGCTAGTTAGGACCCCAACTAGTAATTCTCTCCCTTTGATTTCAATGTTAAATCCATGACATATCTTGGCTAAAATAACACGTTTTTAATCCACAGATGATCATAATCTTTATAATGGCAAAATGCCCAACATGTCACATTGATCTGAATAAGGGAGGGGGGGGGGGCTATTTCGATATTTTGCTAGGCCTTGTCGGGGGAATCTATAGGCAGTGATGTCATTTTAGCAGGCGATCACCCGAATTCCAGATCCTTCCGCACCAAAATCATGAATATTCACCAAATGCTGGCAGAAAATAAGAACATTTATGCCATCAGTCGATAGATTGACGATGGGCTGGCATAAGTTGTTACCTGGGAACCATGTTTTCTAACGTTACAAGCTATAGGACTCAACCTGTAAGAAGTTAGGTTATTCCAGTTCATGGCACTTGTTACACATGCATTGTGCAAGAGCAAAATCTGCCTATTGCAAGTCTTTATTTAGGCTTCAAATGTTATAGA